GATTGAACCCAGGGCCTTCTGCAATCTAGACAAACTCCCTACATACCTAGTCCTTGTTTATTTTATTTTATTTTGAGACTGAGTCTCACTAAGTTGCCAAGACTAACCTCAAACTTGTGATTCTCTTGCCTCAGTCTCCCAAGTAAGCAGAATTACAAGCACGCACTATCGTGATCAGAAATAATCTCTTTTTAATGAAAGTGTTATCCCTTGTGAATTAGTGTAATCATAATAATGTAGACTTGTTATAGAAATTACTGGAAAAAAAGAGTGCCTTTCTACATGAAAATAAAATATGTCCCCTGTACTTCTGATTAGTCTGTTTTATTTTTTGCCATGCTTTTTAATTGATCATCAATTTAGCAGAAGGAGCCTATGAGGGTCTGTTTACATAAGTGTCCTCCAAGAAAGTCATAATGTTTGCATTACCAGACCTTTCTCTATTCCACTGTCAATATCACTTTGTGATAAAACACCCTCTGAAGCTCTTATGATAGCACAGAATATCGCTGTTACAGACTTGTCATGCACCAAATGAGAAATACAGGGCTGCCCAAGGCATGGGTGAAGAGGTCTCAGCAGCAACCCCCTAAATGCAATTCTTTATTCTGACTCACTAACCGAAATGTAGACCTGGTGCTCCAGGTTTCAAATTGCACTTGTTATAGAACTTTCATAGACACTGTGTGAGAATAATTATACAATTTTTAATTGAAAAACTTACTAAAGATATTAGGTGGATTTTGTCCTTAATCTCATAATAAATGTGTGAAAAAGGCACATCCTCTCAGTATGTCTGATATGCTATTTTCTTTAAGTAATTCCAGACACAGAATTACGCATCCTGTTCAATGAGGAGGTGTGCAATGCAAAATAGAAGTTATTTTTCTCCTTATCATTGAGTCTAGAAATGTTAGGAATTTAGAGCATCACGGTGTACTAATGCCCTGCTTTGGCTTTTGGCACAGAAAACAAGCTAAGCTTCGTTACATAGAGAACTCTAACACATGGTATAAACCTCACTGGGCTGTGGACAGTACAAAGGTCTATACAAAACTACATACACTGTATTTTCCTGCATATCCCACAGCATTGCCACACAGCTCCAGTTCATCTGTCACTCTGTGCTTTATGCCCTGGTGCCTCCTTTGCATCACTACTCTTGCACTCTGGGCCCATAGTTAAGTAAAACAAGTGCTACTTGACAACAGGTGCTCCAATTCTGCCATAGCCAGCCTGACTGAGATGGCTCCTATGTGACTAACAGGCACGTAGTGTAAAAGCATGGAATTTCTTGGCAAAGTGATGAGTCATGTGCCAGGTACCACAGAGCAGGGTTGAGTGAGATTTCATCATAGTACTCAGAACATGACACTATTTCAAAGTTATGAATTGTATTTTTGAAATTGAAAATGGGACATCAGAACTCAGTGATTTCTGAAATTATTTTCATACATTCAAACTGTGCTCAACCACATATAACTTCAACTACAGAAAACAAAGCCACAAATGAAGTTGGATAAATATATCTAGATCATAGATATAGATACAGGTTATGAAGAAGGCTGTATACGCTGTGAATTGGTGTCCACTAAATGGTACTGTTTTTCCCAATAGCCAGAATCCATGTGCCCAGCAATCAAAGGATGGAAGTGTGAATGTCACTACTCACCATTACTCTTAGCAATGCCCTAGCAAAATTTTTGTTTCCTGTTCCCATGACCTTATGCATCATTGACTAGAACTATTTGTTTCAGAGGAGGGAAGGCTTGCATTAGGAAACACAACAACGATTCCAATGAATTAGAAGCTAAAACTCCCCTCTGGTCATTTTGGGATCCTAATGGTTCTGAATAAGCAAGGTGAAAAGTGAGTTATGATGTTAACAGAGATGATTAGTTCAGACTACCAAAAGGGAAACAAACTATTACATCACATTGGAGGAAATGAAGGATATAATTGTAGTGCAGGAAATCCCTGAGGAACCTACTAGTATTCCATACCCTATTATTAAGGTTCATGGAAAAACAGACAGGAGGATTAATGGAACAGAAAGAAAAATGCACAAACAACCCCAGGCACATTCAGCTATCTCATCTTTGACAAAAGCAAGCTAGAGGAAAGATAACCTCATTAATAAATGGGGCAGGGAAAACTGGCTATTCACATGGAGAAGATTAAATCTAGAACATTATTACTCACCATGCTATACTAAAATCAAAATGGATCAAAGATCTAAATGTAGAAACAGAAACACCCTGTTGGAAGATAAAATTCTGTACTGCAAACCTGAATTTAAATATATATATATTTTTTTTTGGGGGGGGGAGTACTGGGGATCGAACTTGGATTCCTGGGCTTACAAAGCAGCCGCAGGAACCCCTGAGCTAAATCCCCAGCCCTAAAATATTTATTTTAACTGAATACACAAAATATGTGAAAATTTTTTCTTCAATTTGCATAATTTGCATTTTTGAAGTTAAAAAGGAGACATTAGAAGTCAATGATCATTAAACACAAATCTTTTATTTCAAATCAAAGATACTAAGTTTCATAGGAGATACATGTTTGCTTCAAGTTACATAATTCATTAGTGAAGAAAGATTAGAAGCAATGTCTTTCAGTATCAACGCATTTTCACCCTGGCTTCTTTCTTATGATTTTTACATGAGTAGACAGAAGTACCTACATTTTCCTCTCAATATTGGAGTTGTTCATCCCATGTGCTTTCCGACATACATAAACTCAAAAGATATGAGTCTTCTTCTTCTTCTGGAGTTTCCCTTCATTATTTGTGATAAAATCACCACACTTATTTTCTTTGCCACAAACATCTGAGCTCTGAGAATCATTGTGCACATTACCATCAGGGAGCTTTCATGAGGCAACATTTTGATCATGTAACCACCCAACCTTCCAAAACATCAATGGAATTATTTTCCTGTGTTCTGTGGAGAATCAAATCTTCTAGGACTTCTATGCAAAGGTTCATCAACATTTTCAACAGTAATTCTGATTAATTATGCCTTGTAATATATTAATTTGTCTTCTTTTGCTCTTCCAATCAAATATTCCAAACCCCTTTTCTGCTTCTAATAAAGCCACATATATTATTCAAAGACAGTTCAAATATATCATTTAGTTTTTATCTGGATCATATCAACTCACAGAACTCTCCGCCACTATATACAGAGGTGCTTCAGTTTATGAACTTAACTTGTTTTATAATTTGGGGGAAACTGGTTGCATTTGTGTGTGTAAAAAGATGGATGTGGTTGCATTTGTCAGCTGGTACAGAGTTGGTGGAAGGAAGCAAATTTTGCCAAACACTTTTGTTTGCACACTGATTTATTTTTAAACAGAAGAATTCATGAACTGTAACATTACTGTAATTTTTCTGTTTCACCTACCCACAACTAAATTACCAGAAATATCACTTATTTGTATATATCCATCTCTTTCACAGTACCATAAGTATACACCATTTTTCTGTTCACATACTACACCTATGTGATTGTAAGGCTTTGGAGATACAGCAATCCAGACAAACAGGGCTGATTTCTTAAATACATGGCTCGCAACAATATCTATCACTCCAGGGCCCAGGTTGCCTTCATTCTGGCATTATTAATGTGCAAATGAAAACAAGTAATAATTACAGGTCTGGTGCTTGTAAAACTGAAAATATATTTGCACTATATGATAGGCTATTACAAGGTCAAGAAGGAATTATTTTGCACTAGAAGAAAACAAATGCACTACATACTTCTAGTTATATAAAGATGGGCATTGGTTTTTCTGGATGTAGTATACAAAAAATCTAGAAAAGATATGGCAAAGACATAAATGTAGCAGTGAAAGAAAAATGAAGGGATGATTTTTAAAATACTTGGGAGAGAAAACTGTCAGGAATACACTTTGCTCATAGCTATAGCAGTTAAGAAGTTTAGGATGAGCCAGGCATGGTGTTGCATACCTGTAATACCAGCACTCTATGAGGCTGAGACAGGAGGATTCCAAGTGTAGGCTCAGCTTGGGCAACTTAGAGATTTATGGATAGCCTGTCTCCAAGGTGGGGACAGTTGTACTAGGATTGTAATTCAGTGCAAAGGCCCTGGGTTCAATTCCCCATAATGAAGAAAAAAAAAATCTAGATGACTTATAAATTCGAATACATTTTTAGTCAAGGGTAGATGAATGGAAATAAGCAGGAATGGATAGCTAAACTAATGTCTGTGCATTGGCAACTTTATCACATTCTTTATCACATTGCCAGAAAATAATGTCATTCAGCACTAAGAAACATGGCAGGCTGTTAGGACTTGTAGCTAGTCGCACCTCAGCCAGTCTCCAGGGCAGGAAGGACAGAGGCCACACCTTTTGCATGGGAGCCAGAGCCATCAACAATGGATGTTGGCCTTTCCTTGACAGGTTCTGGCCCAAGCCTTCCTCTACGTAATGAGCTAGTTCATTCCTTTTCATCTTTAAAGTACTAAACTGAGGAAAAAGCTTCCACACTACCCCGCATTAGGCCTCTGGAGAAAGACGATGTCACACATCGTCAGCCCGTATGCTGAGGGTATCTGCTAAACTCGAAGCTGGCAGCCATGCTCCAGGAATCCCAGCGATTGTTCCTGTTACTCTTCCGGAATTTTCTGGCCACAAAACCGTTGGCAACAGAAAAAGAAAGTCAACATAAACAGGAAATAGGAGCAAACCTACCAACTCCAGCTCTGCGCATCGCTGGCGCCCCACTGGGGTTGCTCTGCAAACCTGTACATCTATGGACTTTTCCAGTTCACTTTAAATTCTAACGTGCAAGAATTCAGACATTCTTGTTTAAAACAGGGCTCTTCCTTTTTCATTGACCCACTGGATATTCCGACTCTGTATTATCTCCCTTCCTCCAGGCCTGCTAGGGAAGCGAATAGACATTTACTTTCCTCACCACGTGGAGGCAGTGAGAAAAGCAGAACTTCGCTTTGCACAGAGAAAACGTTTAGGATTTTTTCAGTGCTGTCCTGGAACTTCAAGGGCAGCCCAGGAGGTGAATCCAACCTGTTGAGCGTTAATGCTGAAGGCACAAAGCCCGTGACGTCGCCCCCGCGTGGTACCAGGAGGCGTTAACAGTCATCCAGAAAGGGGGCGAGCTGGCCGCCTCACAGGCCGCCTCACAGCCTCAAGATCTGTGCTGTGGAAACAGGGTAAATATTCGAACAGGCTGGGAGAGTAGAAATGACCAGGATCTGATAGCTAGGAAGAAGTCAGGAGAGAGAAAGACCCGTGGGATGAGGGTCTACAAAAGATTTAGTGCGGATGATAGTTTAGTTTTGTAGTTTAGTACCCATCTGCCAAAGATTCAAGATGTGTTTCTCTGCGTTGAGCCTGTGGAATGCTTTATTTAGTTCAGCAGATGAGTCATTCTGTTCACATGAGTGTCACTGACTCACAACAGAAGGGCTAAGCAATTTCTAAAACTGGTCTTTCCGGGATCAAATTCAGAATTTGAATTTCTTATGTTGTGAATGCACAGCTAGAGCTGGGGATTTAGCTCAGTGGTTCGCTGCCTGCCTGTGAATGCACAGCTGTAGAAACAATGTAACATTAAAATTGGGGTCGTCTGGACTTTCTGTCTTTTTTTGGTTTCTGTGATGTAAAAAGCATGAAGAGATTTAACATGTGTCTCCCACATCTCTGTGGTCAGTGCTCGGTGAGTAGAAGAATTTACAGAGATTACATTTTAAAGAAATGTACAGATTGAAGTCCAAGACAGAGTCAAGAATCTTGAAAATATACAGGGATTTTCCAAGGAAGTTAGAGAACCACTAGTTATTGGACATTAAGACTTCCACTTTTTGTTAGTGTTTGAAGGAAATATCAGAATATTGAGACAATCTCATTTTAGAAGATTATAGTCTTAGTGATCAAATAAATACAGTAAAATATTAAAGAACAATACTAAATATCAAGTCAGGTTTTAAATTTGTGACAGAGATTATATATATTATTTATAAGGACATTCTTCAAATCTCCATTTCAGATTATCTCTGTTCTAGGATTATGAAATCATCCACCATGTCCCTCCTGTAAGAACAGTGCCATCCTTGTTTTAAAACACCTGCAAGAAAGGACATTTTGCTTTTCCACTAGTGAGTAACAAGGGAAAAAGTGGTAGCTGACTTTTCAAATATGTTTGAATATGGATTTAAGGGAATAAAATATAAGTTTAAGGTATATAAAACTATTTTTAATATACTTTCACCAACAGTGCCATTGTTTCACTCATTCAACAAATATTACAGGTTGGATGCCCAAGGGTATGGGAGAGGAGAATGGGACCCAGTATGTTGTCTTGTGCCTAGCAGACTATGTATGGACTCATGGGTAGCATAGTGCAAACGTATTGAGTGCTTGGGCCATTCAAAATCTTCCAGTTCGTGTGTGTGCCTTTCAATTAGTTGATGAGAATACAGCAAGTAGATATTAGATCATTTCTTTTGAGGTAGCCAGAAGATCTTGATAGAAACAGGACTCAACACTTGAATTTCCAATTATATTATTCTCCTTTTCCTTCAGTGCTACTTCAAAGGAAAAGGAAATCTCTTAATGTTTCTGAAATAAGCAGTTCAATCAAGCAGTGCATTTTTATGAAAAATCTTATGAGCTCAGCAAAATTCCAGATATTGCAAAGGATGATAATAAAAATATTGTTAACTTCCATGTATTAAATATTATGTGTATTGTATTATATAAATGTTACATTAGCTGGCTTACATTTATTATCCCTTTCAATTTTCAAGGCAAAACTATTGCGATAGCTCAAATTTTACAGAAGAGAAAACTAAAGGTCAGGGAGAATTTCCCAAACCCGATGGTTTCCAAAGACTGTACTCTTACTCAATAATCTATATAGTGCTTGGTAAGTAGGAAGTAAAACTCATAGAAAGCTGAGCCATGAGCATTCAGCTTTAGTGAGCACCCTGGTTATCTTCTTAATGATTAACCAATCTTGGGGGGGTCAGTATAGAATCATTAAACCAAAAGGCAGTCTCCAGATCTGAACGTACATGAGAAGAGGAGAGGGCCGACCAGAAAGGGAGTCCAATGTAAATGATGGGACAGTTTTACTTTGCATAGGGAATTAGTAGACTAAAAGAGGTTACAAACTGAAAATAAACTTTCCCAAAAAACCTGAGATGAATAATGAATGCCACCACCAAAATTATCTGTGAAGGAAACTGTGTTTTTTCACATTTTCTTTTTGATGAAAAAAGGGCCACAAAGTCTGAGACTATTAGTATGAAAAACATTATGTCAGAACAGTGTTTTGCTTGTGCAACTAGGATTTGAGAAAACAGAATTAAGTGTAATATTGCATATACTTTGCACTAATCTTCGTCTCTCCATCTTCCGTGTTCCTACAGATAAAGCAAATATTTCATTCTGGTGCGAGAACCAACAGTAAGTGAGTCCTATTCTAAGGCTAGCATTTTATTATGTCAATCATTTTTATGTTGCCAAGAGTAAATTGATATACTTAATAACTGTATCCATGGTTTTCAAAATTTTGATAAATTAAGAATGATCTCAGCTTTTCAAAGTTTGGAAAGTAAATACGGCACTATTACAGACATTTAAATGAATTGTTTACACAATGCTTTGTAAAAATAATTAATTTTGTTCTAGATCATGGATTGAGCAAAGAGGCTGGACTTTCAACTCAATTTTATTTGTATTCTTCTAAACAAGAAAATTGGACAGTATACACTAATATAAGGAAATAAAAAATACAATTCTTATTCATTGCGTCAGAGAATTAACCACTAATACGATGTTTGTACACTTTTGTCTGATCACAACCTTGGAATCTTAATTTAAGAAAAATGATTGCACAGAGCAAAATTTCCAAAATAGTTACATGTAAAATTAGATTTTTAAAAAAGAAGAAATCAGTTCTGCTCTCACCTGCCTTTTCCTCTTTGATGTCTAAATGTCTTCCTTTTAGATGGAATAATCCAGTAGAATATATAAATATAGGCTTCCATGAGATAAACAGGAATAATAAATATTTTAGATAAAATAATCATTTTAAGCCAGTACATACATTTTTGTCTGTACATGGTCGAAATAATGGAAAAGTTGGCCCATTTATTGATGAGGAAATCTAAACTAAAAATCTCTAAGGAGTGAGAAAGTCACTGAAGGACACAAAGCAGGTCTGAGTAGTTAGATGATGAACTAGCATGAGCTCACAGTTCCTCCCCAAAGAAGTCAGTCACAGGAATCAGCTTTTACCATTCAAGAAATGAATCCATGATTCTAAAGACAAATTCCCCAGGTCAAAATTTCACCACAAAATTTTGCTAACCACTTAAAAACAAATCGGTACCAGTTTTACACAATCTCTTCCAGAAAATGGAAGAGAGAAACAAAATTCTCAATCCATTCCTTGATATTACTATTATCTTATTACTAAAACTAAGGTCCTCTCAGGAGAAAAATATATGGATCAAAATATGTTCTATGCATGCACAAATATGCTAAGTGTAACCCCCATTCTGTATAACCAAGATGTACTAGTTACATAATCAGTACACTATACACCTTTATTTCTGATAATGTTGTATACATGTTATTTTGTCTCTTGTCATATAATATTGCAGAGAAAAACACTAGGCCAATTTGATTTTTTTTCCTTTATAGTAAATCTGCTTATTTGCAGTTCATATTCTTATAGTGCTTGTGAATTAATTTTAAAATGAAAAACTATAAATCATCTCTTTCTCCTGAGCAAGGAGACTATTAATCATTTAGTGTATTTCTTTTGAAGATTTTTCCTTTGCATGTATTTCTGAGTGTATTTCTATATAAAATTTATATTACATAATTGAGATGATATTATGCCATATAATTCTCAATCTTTCAGTTAGCATCTAATCACTGTCATTTCCTGTGTAACACAAAAATTTTAAAAGTTTTATTAATATATGATTCAAGTGCATAATGATCATATTCTTCATGGGGAATTGGTGCATGTGTATAACAGATTTTAATTCTTTTTGTGTCCTTTTACCCTACCCTCTCTCTCCCTTCTCATTATCATTAAAGCATGATTTTATTTTATTGACCACATAATATTGTGTGGATGTATTATGCAATCATCTATAATTTGAACAATTTTATATTTTGATATTTAGGTACTTTTAAAATTTTATGTTTACATACTTTCTAATTTCTTGCTGTTAAGAATGATACTGTCATATACCAGTTTACAAAACTCTTTATAATGATTTTTGTCCATGTAGGTGAATTGTTATATTTTACCTATTTGTAATTTGATAAGCACATTATTACAATGGGGAGCATTAATGAGCATTGTTCAATATAAAGGTATTATACAATTTTAAAAGTCATATATTAGATTGATATTCAGAGGACCTTAGGTCAGATCCCACATTTTCCATTATTAATGATCATTTTAACTATGGTAGTTTAGAAAAACTCCTCATCATTTTTCTGTTCTAAAAATAATGTCATCTAAAAAAATACAGATCAGGAACTGTCATGAATACAGGAAGTAAAAGTAAAATAATTTAATAAATTAATTATGTAATATAGTGAAAGGAAATTACACCCTGACCAAGTTGTAGGACAAGTGACTTGCATAAACCACAAGTTACGGGGCATTAAAAATTACCTTTTTAATGATCTGATCTTTTAGAAGATCTGATCTAATTCCTGTTAGAAGTAATTGGAAAATAACCTTTGTAAAATGTTTTGAATATTTAGAAAACCTTTGTTTTATTCTATGGGTTTTAAAAAATTGTATCTAAGTCTAGTGGTTGATAAAGTTCTAAATACAAAAACTATTTGAAAATCTTTCAAATGTCATTGCTAATTGACAGTTAAAATATTTAAAACACATTTCTTCAAATTGAAGTTGTTTTGGTAGTGTGTTTTCCTTATATCATTAAACTTATTTCATTGTGTTAGGTTTAGAAAAATCTGAGATGCTGTTTGTCCAGTTTTTCAAAATATTGATGAAGATGATAATGATGTAGTTCATTTTTAAAAAATCAGTGAAAATGCCCAAATCTAAAATTACATGTGTTTCAAAGGAAAAAGCCCACTCCTAGCATAAGAGTCTATCATTATGCACAACCCGAAGTATACACATTTCACTTTATGGACCTTGCTAAATCTGTTTCATAATAAACATTTCCATTGGCCATTACAATACCATTACTAATTCAAGCACTGCAGGAGAGTTGTTCTTTTATTTGATCACATCTTGACTATTTGTGTCTTCTACATTCACATATTCTTAATTTATTTCTGACATTTGATTTTTTTATCAATCAGGCTATTCTTTTTCATATTTCCTTGCTTTATTGGATTTTCTTCATCATCTCTGGTCAAATTAATCTCAGTCTAGTGTTTGATGTAATATTCTCTTGGATTATAAAGAGAATCCTTTAGTTTTCTTGACTAAATGTTTACTGCTATTGTGTTCAAAGGCAACTATTTTATTTCTGTTTATTTCATTCAGCTATGTAGTTAGTTTCAGTAACATTTTCAGTGATTGAGTCTATTATTCACAAAATCACTTGATTCATTGAGTCATTAATAAGCAATTATCTGTGGCATTGCTATAATTTATCAATTTAGAACTATACTATATCTAACAAACATAAGAATTATTAAAGATCTACTAATAACACTGAAAGATTTATAAGTATGGAAAATAATGAATACATAAGTAATTTAAATCCAATATGATAAGTGCAACATTAGATGTACAAGTGATTTCAGGGACAATCCAAGAATGAGAGTAGTTTGATATGTATAATATAATTTAAAATGCTCCAGTGTGCTATTTGTGTTAGTTTAAACCACACTTTAGAGAGTTGTTTTCATTGATCAGAAATTCATAATCAAGGGGATAACAGCCAGTGTTTACTCAGAGCAAACTATTGCATACAGGAAACTACTATAAATAATTCAACTACAAGTACTTCCATCAAGACAGAAAAAATTGTAAACAATGAAATTAAAGCAGGGATTTTTTTCCTTGAAAAGAATGACATATTGATCTCAATGTTTAAATTAAAGGTAGTCAAGATATTCTAAAAAATATATTGAGGCAGTTTTCACCTGAGAGTTAACATTAGCAGAGGAGAGTATGTTTTCAGAATACTCTATCATCAAAATATAATAGTTTTATTCCTTGTTTCTAACAGGAACTCCCTGTGGATCCCATTTTTAATTTTCTGCTATCACTTTGTTTCTGTGGTAGAATTTCAAGTATAATAATAAGCTAGCAGTGATAATAATTTAGGACATTTTGAGCTCAATTTACAGCATCTCACTAGATATGCCATGCCGCTGACAATATCTCTTTTCAGTGTCCTTCCCGTAAACCCTTCTAATATTAAGAGCAGTACTGTATAATACAAGAACGTTGTTCTGTGTTTTCCAGAATTGTTAATATACCAGTTATTTAATTCCTTCAGGACTATAGTTTTGTTTAGTTTTATTAAATACATGAAATTTTTAAAAATGATTAGAAAGATTTTTTTTGTCCAAGACTGATTTCTTATATATCTCCTGGAGATATAACTGATGTTATACAAAGCTCCATGGCAATAAGTAAAGTCAGTCAATCAGTTCCTTCAAATGTGAATGCCAGTTCCTCAAAATATCAGTGGAAGAGCGCTTGTATTTCCCTAGTGATAAACACTGGTAGGCCCAGTACTGTTACTATGTCATATGATGTTAATCATAAGATTCAATCACACATCTCTCTGTTCACATCAAGGGGCCCCGAAGTCTGCCCCAGTTCAGAAGGCAGAAAGCGGATGAGACTGGACCAGACTTCATTTCACTTCTGAATCCTAGTCATTGAGACACGAGAAAAGAAACTAGTGTTCTCAGACAGTGCACTTGAAAAGATCCTAGGCCCAAAGATAGATGTCCATGAGAGTGTAATATCTGCATCTATGGTATCTCTTTGGACTGTAATAAATCCCATGGTAGTGTATTGGAATTGGAAGATTGGTATGAACCCATGGTTCTTTGTTTTTGTTGTTTTTGTTGTTGTTGGTTGGTTGGTTTCTGGTGCTGAGAATCAAACTCGGTACCTTGCGCTTTTAAGGCAGGTGACAGCACCACTGAGCTAAATCCCCAGCCAGAACGCATGGTTTTTATATGTGCTGCCAAAGCGAACAACAGAATGCATGGATTTTAACACAGAGATACATATAACTGCGAGGAAAGTAGTGAACAAAAGTGAAGGGATTCTTACCTCAATAGCGTAAAATTTTTGAAACTGGGAGACTGGAATATAGAGATTGCAAGTCAGTGAGATGCAAGTCTTGGGATGGTTAAAAAATTACTTATAAAATTATATAAAATGTGACATCAAAAAATTGCTGTCTTAATCACTTCTAAATGGTACATGGTGTGGCTTTAAGTTAGAGAAGATTCAAAAAAATATCCTTTCATGTTGACTACATGAAGTATTCATTATTAGTACTGAAAACATTGGTGGACCTGGAACTACAAAGTACTCTCAGAGAGCTGTCAGGCATCAGAGTCCTTAGCCTCCTAGATCTGTGAAATATTCTGGAATAGAAGGATAAGGGAAAGGACAGATGCTATTCAGGAGTTAATGAGATTCATTAGTATAGCATTTGAGAAAAATCTCCAAATTCTAGAAATATTTAGTTAAATTCTCCCTAAATAGCAAGTAAACAGGAAATCCTTACATAGTGGGTATATGTGTGTCAGAGAAAGACAAATGCACAAAAAGATACAGTTATCTTAACATCTACTGTGTTGAGAAATGTGATTACGTAAGGTCTGCCTCAGCTTCCCAAGTGCTGGGATTACAGGCATGCATCACTGTGTCTGGCAGCACACTGAATCTTTAAAGAGAATAATTAAACATGTGTCTGGAATTATTTGTGGAAATTCCCTATTAAAAATATGGAGTATGCAGAAAAATCTATTAACAATTTTAGTAAATTTTCAGTTAAACACGGTTATAATTATTTTCACACTAAAAATTAGACATAGCAATGCATGTGAAGTATACTAATTTGAGATTCTTTGATTTTTGGTTTGCAATCAGAAGTGTTAGGGAAATTTTGCTTCCACTAGGAAACTTTGCTTCAAATGATGAATAGGAGCACAGCCATCTTCCCCATATCACAGAAAGACCTGTTCACACATGCGGTGAAGTCACTGTGTGTGCATTTTAGCACATACCATATTGTGCAGTATTATTCAATCCAGCATGGCTCCAAAGAAAGTACAGAGCAAGCATAATGGTAAAAATGAAGTGCAGAGCAGTAACGAAGCTGACAAGATGCCATTCAAAAAGCTCATGTGAGAGCCAGGGATTTAACTCAGTGGTTCTGCCACCTGCCTCACAAGAACAAGGTCCCAAGTTTGGTCCCTGGTACCCTGGTACAAAAAAAAAAAAAATCTCGTGTGGCAAAAGCAGTAACTGTGTTAACCAGGCAGAGGACACAAGTGCTAGAAGAGCTGATAAACCTTTTGTTAGTGTGGTTTCATGACTAACAGCTGGCAGGTGATAGTGTTAGTGAAGCTATGATCTGTGAAAAGGCCAGGAAGTTCCACAGTGATTTACTGCAAGAAAACCCCTCCACAAGTGCAACAAGTGAAGAATTTAAAGCCAGTACAGGGTAGTTTGGTAAATTCCACAAGAGAAGTGGCACCCACAGTGTGATAAGACATAGTGAGGCTTCCAGTTATGACAAGGTTGGTATAGAAACCTATGGGAAAGGATTTACAGAATTAGTGAACGCAAAAGGATACATCACTCAAGTGTTCAACTACTATGAAACGGGGGCCCTTCTGAAAGAAGATGCCAAAAAGAGCATTCAGGAGGAAAAGGCCCTGTCAGAACACTAGCCCATAAAGGACAGATTGACCCTTTTGCTGTGCGCGACTAAAAGATAAAGAGAGGAAACCTCTGAAGAAGATCTTCCTGAAGTCTTTATGGAGGATGATTCTCCCTCCAAATAAAAACCTCCTCCCACCCGTCTTCCCATTTTTGATATCAGAAGTCACCTCAAGCAAGGTTGGTGCTCTCTGTCTTCTTATTGTTCTGAAATATACCTTGTTTCATATTTTTGTGGTTATAAATTGCATATGGTTCAGAACATTATTTACATTGAACCTTGTGGCAAAATTTGATTTGCTTCATGACCAAGTTGGTTCACAGTCAGAATGATGGAATGAATTAAGTTCTTGAATGGAGATTGCACTGTATGCAGTTCCTCAGCATAGAACCAAAGAAATGAAAGCCAACAAAGTTACCAGGATACGCATGTCTATTGAAGGTAAGTTATGAAAACATTCTGGTTGTCCACCAATAGATGAATGCATACATATAATGTGATACATACATACATATAATATTATATACATTATTCATATACATAATGGATATACATATATACATATTATATGTGATATATATAATATTATATACATTATTATATACATCATATCATTTACAGAAAAATGGATGGAAATGGAGACCACCAAGCTGAGTAAAATATGCCAGAGCCAGAAAGTCAAATAGTGTATGATTATAAGAGGAATCTAAAATAAAAAATTAAATTAAAAAAAATGACACGAAAGTAGAAAATAAACTATTAAAGAAGAGAAAGGACATCAGGGGGAGGGGAAATAAAAGGGAAAGGGAAAATAGTTTTGGGAAATGAACAAAGTGTATGTGTGTGTGTGTGTGTGTGTGTGTGTGTGCACGTGCGCACGTGCATGTATGAAATGTCAAAATAAAAACCACTGTCTTGTAAAATTACTATATACTAATTTTTAAAATAAATAAGATTAAAATAATATTCCATGTTCATTAAATTTCATACTAGGGATTATTAATTTTATTAATAGGTCATAAAGTGATATGTGTATTATATAAGTTCTATACAACATAAAGGCAATTTACAAAAAGCTAATTAGTATGTGATGCTATTAAATTTACAGGAACAAATTACACAAAAGTCCACCTAATTAAATAGTTGCGCTCTCTATTGTAAGTTAAGCCTTCCCTGACTCATTACTATTAACATGATTAAACCTAATTGTAAAAGAACCATCTTCATTAACCAAGTTCCTGTTTAGAATTAAATAATGGCTACTTGACCCAGAAGTAGGTGTATAATCTGTTGGGGGGGTTTCACCACAGCACATTACTACTGCTTTGCATAATTCAAGGTAACCCAACAGGAAATGTAAGTGATATATATGTATATATATATCTTCTGAAGATCAAAATATGTTCATCTCATTTTGGACACAGGGACATCTTATCCTTCCCATCTCATCTCAGGTAAATTATTTGCTACATTATTTTAAATAAATGCCATTTTAAAAGGGAAAATTTTCTGGCTATTAATTTTATTCCCAAATTTACTACTAGAAGATAAGATAAGATACTACTGGTAGATAAGATTTCAGATATCTTTCTCAATATTGTGTAGGTCTAATATACCAAAAAATAGATCATACATGGAACATTTTCCTCACATTTGGCATAATACTTTTAATGGAATAATCAAAAAATGAGTGCATTCAAGGCAAAGCTGCTAGGTTACTGAGGAAATCTGAAACATCATATGTGAATTAACTGAAGAGGTTAAGTCATTTAACTTTTCAGACAAAGTCTTAGTGAGACTATGATGGCTAGCTTCAACTATTAGTGGTTGGTCATGAAGAAAAATTAGAATGAAACTTAGTATGAAAAAGGTATTTCAAGAAGGAACTTTTAAAATAGAGAATTAAATGATTTTTTTTTCTTATTTCACATAGTCTACTACACCTGTTGGTCCGCATTTACATTTTCACTTCTTAAAGGGGACAAGGGGAAAGAAAGAAAAAAGTGAGAAAAGAAGGAATAAAATGGAAACAGGGCTTTTGTAAATAAGGAAGGGGAAGAGGGGTTAAAGAGAGGGGAAGGGAATGAGAAAAAGAAGACTCAAGTTTCATCATATAAAGCTACAAATTCCCTACCATGAATGTGATCATTATGTAAATCTAAATTATACTAATAAAATGAAAAATTAAAAAATAAGAGAATTATTATAGTTTTTCACATCAGAGAAACTATTCGGTACTTACACATGTGTGACTTACTTATTTCACTTAGGAGTATATCCTCAATATGTATCTAGTACATAATATCCTAATGAGATAATTGACAATGTGAAACAGGAAGAAAAGGGCTAAAGCTGTAGGGAAAATAGGAAGGGTAGAGGAAAGGTAATAAGGGAAAAGAAAAAAAATATGAGAAAATGAAAAGATGGAAATAAAGTGTTTGTAGATGGGGAGGGGAGGAGGGGGTGAAGGGAGGGCAGGGACAAGGGAAAAAAATGAGAACTAAGACCTGTCATGTCTTTACATGACAAGATCCCAATAATGAATGTTACTGTACTGTATACCTAAGATGTACCAATAAACTCAATCTAAAAAATTAACAATAAAAGAATTATATATAAAACTAACACTTCACAATGATTCTATAATAGTAAAAGTTATGTGAATCTAAAGTAGAAGTGTAATGGAATCATAAATGCATCACTCTCTTCAAAGGTATCTCTTCAGATGTATGCATAGTTAGAGGTTATTACTGATGTATATGCTTGGTTTTCTCAGTGGTATAACACTATCATAAGAGAGCTATTTTGAAAGGTTTTATATGAGCTTCCTTACAATTGGAGATGCTTATCAGTAATAAGGATTAGCACAGATCAAAGTTTTACTTTTATCTATTGTTTAGAACTCAAATTCTTAATCTTCTAAAAATTTAATGCTACATTTCCGTATTTCATCTTAGAAATTAGTAATCAGGATAAAGTTTACCTTTGTAAAGGATGAAACTGATATTTGTTAATACAAACTGTCCATCTGACTAAAGATATCTGTTCTTACAGAATTTCCAACTCTACAAAAGCTATATAACATTCATTTAGAATGTAATGTGTAATATAGCTACTTCATAATGTAAGCTATATGTATTCAAAAATCTTATAAATGCATCATTTCTTCTCAGAGACAATGATATTGACAAGTGTATGCTTCATGTTGCTGCTACAGCATGCTGCTGGCATGGTATGGATTTTACTTATAAAATAGATTTTGGCCCTATTATTGGGGCTGATTCAATTTTACTTATACTGGGTATTACATAGATCAGAAAATACAACTTTTACCTCATGTTGTTCTCATCAGTGTGTATCTTTAATGACAAAGTAATCAGGCAAATCAGGCTTTTCAAGTGGAAATAAATCTGGATAGATTTATGAATAGTATGGGACAAGCGACAAGACAATAGACCAGCAATATAAACACCCCATATGAAATACAGCATGAATCATAAGTATGAAATCAAAGCCAGGCGTGGTGGTGCATGCCTGTAATCCCAGCACTCTGGAGACTGAGGCAGGAGGATCGCTGTGAGTTCGAGACCAGCCTGCACTACATAGTGAGTTCCAGGTCAATCTCAACTACATAGTGAGACCCTGTCTCAAAAAAACAAAACATAAGTATGAAATCAACACTCCACTTACTTTGTACAATTTCATTTTATCATAGGCAGGCTCTTCAGTTAAAAGATAAAATATATATCTAATCATCTAATTTCTAAGCCTGCAGAACTGTATATATCTAGTATTCCAAAATTCTCAGCAGCAACAGATAAGAAATGGGCCTATCATTTGGACCAAAATCTTTCAAAGTTTAACTCAATGTATTTCAATATAGTTCAATTTCAACTACTTTGTAGTGTGTAGTGCACCAAGTATTGTGATAATTCCCAGGGCTAGAGAAATTTAAAGATTAATTTAGTAACTTTCTGCACAGCACTTCAGATTAGTAGGGGATTTACAAGCCATTTTAGAAGAATGGCAAATATCATGTGAAGACAAATGGTTCTACATGATATGACCACTGAACATTTAGTGTTTTAAAAAATTCTAAGCCCTTTTTATTCATAATCTCATCTAGTCTTTATGATGATACAATTACTAGGATTTAGATCAGCATAGAGAAAAATATTTGAGGAAAAGTTACACGAGCTTTGAAGTATAGCAATAAGACAGTAAGCATGAAAGTTTGAAGGTAATCAATATTTGGCAAAATCAGTATTTGAATTAGAGGTTGATACTATCAGATTTGCACTTTATGGGGAAAGACTAGCAGCAAAGAGATTAGTTGGGAGCTTGTTCAGTAGTCTAAGTGAAGGAATATAATTGTGACCAGTACTCAGTTATAGGAATGAAGATCTAATTTGAAAGTAGAAGCTGCTGGATTTGAGATTGGTTAAACATAGGTATCAGGACAAAGTGCCAATATATGGTTTCTATCACGGTGTAGCTTGTGATGCCATTTACTAGAACATGGAGGATCTGAAGACACAGTCCTTGGGAAGGGCCAAGGAATTAGTGCTATGGGTTTCAGGTGAGGTGTGAATAGGATCTGTGCTGGAGCGGCTTTGGAGAGAGAGCATGTAAGTCTCACAAAACCATAAAAGTAGAAAATATACAAAGTGAAGTGAAACAAGGGCTTAGAAAGAATACTACAAAAGAATACTAAGATTTAAGTGTGAGCCAGAGGAAAGGAAGCTGGGGAGAAAAGAGATAAAACAACGTCAGAAATGGCAGAAGAGGCACACAAAAGCTAAGGGATGAGAATGATTCAAGAGGAGTGTGTGCAACATTCTCCAGTGTTACTGAGACAAGTAAGATAAGAATGAACATGATCCATTCTACTTCTCTGTGCTGTGACTGTGATTGTCTTGGCAAATTTTGATTCTGTGGAGTGCTGAGGACAGAAGGCACAGAGCAGTACATTGAGAAGCAAGTGGAAAGTGAGCAATTAGGGTAAGATCCAAATTTTAAGATAAATGAAACATAGTGTACTTCTTGCTAAAAGAGGAAATACAATCAAATAATGCAAGATCTAGGTGATACGTTTCTCCATCCTCTTAAGCTTGTTGGAGGAGCTGCCCTGGCAATTGATTTTAATAATAAATAGAACAAGATGGAAGTAAAGTTATGTACTGGAAAAAGAAGTCGACTTTATACCGAAAACCAGAGTAATTATTATACTTTGATTTTTGTATTATTTAAAGAAATAGAGTGTATGACTTCTGAAAAATTGGAACATTTTACTAACTAAAAATGTGCCTGAAGAGATCAAAAGATAAAGCAACTCTCATACTTTTCAAAAGAAGGTTATCCTAGAAGTCAGTATCTGCAGAACTTTTTAGTGTATTTGTCAACACCATGTAAAAGTTAAGGCTCTCTCTAGCTGAATGATGAACCTATATCAAGACTAAGCAGCACCAGGAAGTCTTTCCACTCCTAGGCTTCAGCAATTAAAGGGGGATACAAAGTAGAGTTGGGAGCCAAGAAAGTAGGTCAATAATGGAGGCGGCTACTCCCAGAAATGGAGGCGGATGTAGGGAGTCATTTAACAAGAAGAGCGCACCTCTTTCTTTCCCACCTTCTGTTCTTTCGGTTTCTCACAAACCTGGAAAAGAATCACACAGTGGAAGCTGGAAGGATCGGCTCCAGGGCACAGTGCAGGACAGAAGAGGGTGGCTAATAAATAGGCTGAGTGAGACAGCAAATAGGAATCAGCACAGCATGACACAGGGCCGTTCCCGAGGGTTCATTCAGCTAGAGAGCTCCTTAACTTTTACATAGATGACTTTTCCATTTTCCAAAACTGTTCCATTGCCTAATTATACTTGTATTAAGATAGGAAAGTGCAACTTTTGCTATTTGTTTAAGCATACATATATATGTACACAGGAACTTCATAAGATGTAGAATTGTTGGCAAGCACACCCCAGAACACTCATTTAAAAACATCTGAATAATATCTGATATAATATGTGTATGCATTATTATACTGATAAAATACTGTTACTCTCTACATTTTTGAGTCATCATTTCTTGCTCTGTATCATATGGGTAACCTTTTGTTATTACAGAATTCTAGGAATTATTTCTTGTTCTATTAGAATTTTCTGGTACTAATTGAGTCACTGATGAGGATTTCAAAGTCTTGCACTGTTATAAGACAGAATTCTGTTTATGCAATCATAGATCAAGTTAATCTATTACCAAAGCAAAAAAAAAAGTAATGTTATTAAAGACAGGTCCAAGTTCCTTAAAAAATTCTATGTGCTGGACCAGTGAATGGTTCTCAAAGAATGGTTCCTGAAAACTTAAGAGAAATGCAAATTATTTCCCTCATCCAAGCTTCCTGAATCACAAACTTTGGGGATGGAGCCCAGTAATCTGTATATTAGCAAGTCTTATGGATATCTAATTTGTTAAACTTTGAGAACAAAAATGAAATATTGGGCCGGGGATTTAGCTTAGTGGTTTGGTGGCCTACCTTGCAAGTTCAAGGACCCGAGTTCAATCCCTGGTACCAAAAAAAAAAAAAAAAAAAAAAAAAAAGAAAAGAAAAAGAAAAAGAAAAAAAAAGAAATATCTTTATATATTTTCATAATGAAATAAATAAATTATAGATCTGTTACTTTAATTTCCAATGCTATGGGTTTTTTTTTTAACTTTTTACCTCTTTTTAAAGATAAACACCTCATATATCTTTTTATTGAGCCATCATCCATCAATTCAAGTGGAGATTCTTAATAAGCACAATGATCTTAGGAGGATGGTAAAGCCCAGTGCTAGAAACATGCTTAAAATGGTAAGTCATGCCTTGTCAGTGAATCATCATCCATCACCGTTTAGCCTCTTGCCAATGGCCATTAAACTAGAAATTATATTTCTAAAATAATCTGTTTATTTCACTAGAAAATTGGCATCTCAGTGTATAGGCTGGTAGTTAACTATATTTGATCTCTCTCTCTAATATATATATATATATATATA